TATTTAAAATGAGATGTTTATCCTGTATTTGATTGTGTTTATCTGCAGTTAGTTACACGAATTCAGATATGAGATGAAATCGGATAGAGATTAAATCGTTTAGGGATGAACGAGTTTAAGAGTTTTAAGAGTTTTAAGAGTTTTTAAGAGTTTTAGTCAAATGCTTTATAAGATAGTATAGATAAACAAAATATTTATAATTAAAGTAAATTATATTTTTGGTTTTTTGGTTATCAAATTTGGTTCTTTTTTTAAACTAACTAGTGTGTGGCATCGGGCGTTGCAGGATGACAAAAATGTGTTGCTAGAAAATAAATATGTAATTACTTTCAGATGAAGCGTAACTTGTTAATTCATTGACAACTAATAAAGTACAATATAGAACATCCAATGTACTTGTAAAAAGTAATTGATGCAACGTATAATAAATGAACGAAGGTTGATCCCGTTGATTCTAAGAACACTTTTCCAGAGCATGTTGCTCGTTTCAAGCTTCAAATCGATATATTATGAACCTAAAATAGAGTCTCGCACAAAAGTCATGTGCATTTAACCACAGACACCCTTTGTTAGTCTGGTTATGGGCCTCCCCAAAAAATAGGGCATGGTCCTCCACACCATGGCCCACATTAGTAATGCTCTGATGTTGAAATTAAAGTTGTACAAAAATGGTAGTTGCAAATGTGTATGCAGTATTAAGAATTATATTGGTAGAACACAAAAATAATCTTTCCAATATAACTTAATGTTTGTTTTGCAACCTACTTATTAAATGGGTTTTGAAATGGGTTGCACATAAAAGAAAACTATAATAAACCATCATATGAAGTTAGTTAATTGAATATAGAAAAAACAATTACATAAACTAAAAAACACTGTATTATAAGAACTCTTTTTATTATATATTCATACCCATATAGCCACCTCCGTGAAATAAATATGTTGGTCTCATTAGGGTCTACAAGATGTGTAGAAACAGTTTGTAGAAGGGGGGGAGATGAATACAAATACAATAAACTTTTCAAATTTAAAATATATATTGATAAAGAAGAATCAATACAGATTTTACAAAATTGTTTGCAAAAATAAGATAAGGTAAAGATAACCTATCTAAACAATCTAAGTTACACGCAAATGTTCTTAGCAAAGAGAAATGATTTGTTGTTTAAGACTAAGAAGAAAGTAAGTTCTTTCTAAGTTACTTTTGAAGATAAGCGTATTGTGTTCTTAGATGTGTGTTCTTTCACGTATGCACGTAAAAATTAGGGATCAAGAGTATCTCTGCATGGAGATAAAACACATCTATTTATACCCATTGCATTAAATGCACATTTAATGCAATGCAGTAGGGTTTAAACACGTGTCAAGTCTTCAGAGAAAGACTTGTCCTTTGCCACAGTGAATAGTACAAAAGCCTATTCATGAGCAGACATCCTTTCATGGAGTTGGTGGGTAGTAGAGTCAACTAATCAGCTGCGTACCGTACTACAATCTAGAAAGGGTATGGGTTTGTCCTTTGTGTGTGGAAGGAGATGACAAAAGCAATCTTGCTCAACAAGCTTCTTTTGATCATTGAATATTGAATAACCCTGAAGGTCTCTTCAGCATTTGCTGAGGCTTGGGTAGTCTTCACGCATATGTAGACCAGGTTGTAATCACTGAATGTCGCTTCAGATCACGAACCCGACAGTCTCTAATCTTCAGTTTTCAGTCTTCAGTCTTCGACTTTCGCTGAAGGTTCTTTGGTGTGAGTTTTGTCTTCTTGAAGTATCGATGTCGCTGATGGATATTTTTTTTGATTAACCTGGATATCCAACCCGCTATGCGACTAGAGTAATCCCAGGATGACCACCTACTTTGTAGATAGCCCAAAGTCACCGTATTTGCACCTCCGTGGCCATAAAGGGATTTTTATTCCTTCTTGGATTTGAACCTGGGACCTCTAGGTACTTTACCTTTGGGTCAAGCTCAAACCAATCAGGCATCACTTTCAGCTATCACTAAACAGACTAAGTGATGATCGCTGGAACTGAAAAACAGAAACAATAATACTTCGTATAAGGTAAAAGGGATTATCATCAAATCACTGAGAGAGAGGATCAACAATCTCCCCCTATTTGATGATAACAAAGCAACATAAAGAAAGTTGCCATATCAAATAACAGTAAAGAAAAGTCACTGTTAACTGTTTTGGGATCTTTTTCAGTGAGTCAGTGTTTACTTAGAAAGTTTTCTTAAGTCACAAGATTAAGAAAAAAAATA